AAACTCAATTTTTTTGAAATAAATCACCAATATTTTTAAATTGAATGAAATTAATTTTCTTATATTTAAATTAAAATTAATTAGCTAAAATCTAATAAATGAGGTTAATATATGTCGTCAGTCTATCTTTTCACTTCAATGCTCATTAATCTCTTGCTAATTTGATAATTTTAAGCCCATTTTCCCCATAACATAACATTTTCTTTATAGATAGCCAAATAAAATTGATTAACTCTTTTTTAATAGTCAACTTGAAACCAAGAAAAGAAAATATAATGTTATTAGAAAAATGGACTTAAAATTATCAAATCAACAAGATGTTAATGAGTATTGAAGGAGAAAAATGGAATGATTTTTGATTACATGATTTGTTAATTTTTAGCTAATTTATTTCAATTAAAATGTAGGAGGGCTAAGTTTATTTAACCTAATGACACCTTTGGAGCACTGGACTAACAATGGGATGAGACTAAATTTTTGTTCAATCCCACTATTTCTCATGTTTGGTAGGGTTAGAGGACAAGATAACTATCATCCTATTTTTATTCAATCCTAACGTCCTTTGATAAAATATATTCTACCTCCCCATGGGATTAAGTGGGAAAAGATTTGATTTTCATTTTTTACTCTTTCTATATTTTCTTAAAGACTCGACCATGTCGAAATTGCATATGACATCAACACCGAAATCTTCTCCATTCCTACTGCTTCTTCTTCTCCCTCACCTTCCTCCTCTTCCTCCTCTCCCTTCCTTCCTCTATTTCCTAAACCACCATTAACAGCCATCAACCAGAGCACATCTTCTTCTTGCCCCTTTTTTTGCTCCTGAATCCTAATGCTGCTTCTCCTTTCTCCTCTTCTTCCTCCCCCTTCCTTCCTCTATTTCCATCTAGTTTTGAGACTTGAACTAGATCTAATGGAATCAAAAGATTTTTCAAAAAATTCGTTGGATTTTTTTTTTCTTCTTTTGTAGTTTGTTTTTGACAAATTTAAATACATGTCTAATCAAATTTATGTTAAATGGAAATAGAGTATTTTTTGGTATTTATTTGTTGGTTGGGTTGTTTGGTATCTAAGAAAAGAAAGGAAAATATTAGTCATGCTATTAATTTGTCCAATTAATTAATAAATGATAATTATTTTCATTTTATTTGCCATCTTCAATTAATTTCATTATTAACAAATTATTGTTAAATAATAAATAACTATTATTAAAATTAAAATTAATTAAATTTAATTATGAAGTGAGAGCATTTTAACCCGAACACACATTATTTATATTTAATTTTAGTATATCCAAAAGTTAAACAAATATAAGATTATATGCAAAAAATCACATCCTATCTAATCCAATCTAATCCTACCCTATAAGTCTAATCTAATCCAATCAAATCCTGTACTCTAAACATGCCATAAAAGTATGAGCGTAAATTTATTTCATAAAAAAGTATAAGAGGTCATTTTAGTAATCATTGAAAGTAGAGGGGGGTAAATGTACCCTTTTCTCCAAAAATAAAAAAAAAAATAAAAAAAGGGGAAAGGCCGTTAGGTAATCAGCCCACATATTTGGACAAAGCCCAGCTCTCAGGAAATCTTTAACTTGAGAGTTTGTTATCAGTCTCCATTACGACCTAACCCAGTCCACCAACAATTACGCTATCCAGTCGGCTATTTAGCCCAATCCAATGATTCCCCAGAAAAACGATTTGCATTCACCTCATCGTCTGACTGTACCCTGCATACCCCGATGCTGCCTTTTTCGGAAGAAGCTTGTTCACACTCTTAGTTCACACTTACCTCTTTTTTTTTTTTTTTGGGTGGCAAAAGACTCTCAGTTAACTCTCATTATCAAAGCTTGTTAGTATTGACCAAGAAATCAAATCCTGTTCGTTGTTTGTTAACCCTCTTTATTAGAGTTCGATCAAAGATTATTAAAAAGTCAAGATTAGTTATTTGATTTAAAAACTCACTTAATTATTTTTAATTTAAGTTTAAGTTTAATTTTAAATTAGACCATCATTAGTGCATACCCGGATCCAACACCCGGGTGTGCACCATTCACATAAAAAAAAAATGAACCGGGTGTTCTTCATTTTTTTTTTCTTTATGCAAAGTGTGCACACCCGGGTGTTGAATCCGAGTGTGCACACATCATTTTCCCTTTAAATTTATTAAATTTATCGAGTTTGAGCTTAATACTAGCTCTCAACTAGCTTGATTGCATGGACATACTCTGATGACTATAAAAATCTACTACAACTTCTAACAAGAAAATTAATTCGTCCGTTTGCCTCAAAATAAGAGTTTCAACTCAATTAAAGAAACCTCAATACTAAAGGATAAATTCCGGCTAAACGTCAGTTATATTTTTCTTCAATTTGACGTGATTTCCTTCTCATGACATAAACTCAAATTTTTATAATGAAAGTCAAGAAGAAATGGGAAAGCAGCTTTCAAAAGTTTCAAGCATCAACGAGCTAGAATATCAACAAAGTCAAACTATTAGTTTAAAACCAAAATTATTCTGACAGTCATCTCCAAGAAACCTTTTTAGGGTTTATACACCTTAAAACTAATTTTTCTCTGAACAATCTTAAGGGTTCACATCCGTATCGATTAGGTACATTTAGGGAAATGAAATTTCCTTAAATAGTCACCCTAGGACTACTTGAACTTTGGACTTGAATTACAAGACAACACTAATTAGTTATATTAGTAAATCCAACCCTTAATTTACGACCTAGTCATAGCCTCACAGTCAAACTTGTTTAATGATAATACGGACACTGATTAATACACTATTTGATTTAATGTATTGTATAATATATTTATTAAAATATTATTATTGTTTAATTTGAAATTAAAAACAAACAAATTTAAAAATTGAGTTATATGTACATAAGATGTAAGAACTGACTAAATTAATTGTACTTATACTATATTTTAATAACTAAACCGAACAAGTATAAAAAAATGTATTGAATTGAAAGATGTTTTAATCATTTTCTTAATTATAATAGGATTTATGTAATCTGTGCCTTAATATACTTTTTTAATATTAATTGGTATAGAAAATAACAAAAATTGTTATCAATTTTATCACTAATAATACATGTATATTATTTTAATTAAACAATTAATTAAATAAATGTCAAGTTTTATTGTTCAATGACAATTATAATGTTAAAAAAGTGCTTTAAATTAATACCCTTAAGGTATAGTTTAAAAAAACCCATTACAATATACAAACAGGGTTACACCATAGACTCTTTCCTGCTTACAGCTTTCATTTTTTTTTTCTTTTTTTTGGTAATGTCCAATTTGCTGCTTACATGCCAGGAGCTAGCCAAACCAGGCCTTCTAGAATTCTGCCCAACAAGTCTCCACACGCGTAACATATCTAGGTTATTACATCACGTGTGGAACAATTTTCAGCAATGAATGAACTAGATGAACAAATATTTCAGTCTATCTTTATCGGAAGACGTCATAATCCATTAGGGTTGGTTAAGAGACGGCCAGATTCTAGAAGAAAATGACAATATTTCAGTCTACAGTAATTAATTTCTCCTACCAACTTTAGAGAATTAATTTTATAGATTCCATGCTTTATTGGTGTATTACTGATCATCATTATTTTAATGTTGTGAAATTGTTTTTCGTTGAAAAAAAATGGAAGGACCAATCGAAGACGGTCCATTGGTGATCAAAGTTGTTGTGGTTTGATTGATTTGTTCATCCTAATCTCTTGACCTTAAGGAACGACGCATTTTAAATACGTAATAAATTAGGAATATTACCAACAACGAGAAAGAACAACTTTAATATGTTCATATATAAATATATAATATGCAATAGTGATTTTAAAGTAAGTGAAGGTTAATTAATTATAGCGATCACTTTCAAGAATTCCACTTGCGCTTCTAGGGAGATCACTTTCAAGATTCATTTTCACCGAAAGGGAGTAACGTTCTATTGATTTTAAGTACATTAGAAGGTTTTGAAAAATTCATCAGGTTTAATCTTATTGTTGAGTAGGTTAAATATAAGAAGAGTTATTTCATTCCAAAAAAATTGAGGTTAATGTAAAAATTGTAGGTAATGTGAAAATTGTACATGTGAGGTTCAACATAAAATTTGCATTAAATATAAAACTAATTAATAATACGTGGAGTAGTTCTTTTTATATTTAACTCACATATTTATTTATTATACACTCGAGGTGAGATTTTCTCATTCAACAAACCCATTGTTGAATGAAAAAATCTCACATTAAGTATATAACAAATAAATATGTTGCTTAAATATAAAAAAAGTTACTTCACTTATTGTTAATTAGTTTTGGATTGGATGTAAATTTTATATTAAAACTCACATGTACAATTTTCACATGATATTATCTATTGCCAATTAGTTTTAAGTTAATGCAAATCTTATATTGAATCCGCGTGCACAATTTTTACACTTCTCACTCCTAGCAATCGAAGGGATTTAGAATTATCAATCATTTAAGTACAAGTTCAATGGTAATTTTCTTTCATAAAAATTTTGTATTTAAATCATATATAACTCATACAAGTAGAT